GCCCATTGAAGTCTATGGCGGTTCGCCCGGTTCGCAAACATTTGCGGAAGTTCTCATTCGCCGTTCGCGAACTGAAAATTTCGGGTTCGCAACATCACTACTGCCCAATAGGGTGAACCCCTATTACTTGCATTTTACAATCAAGATTTACTTGTGCCAAGCATTTGTGGGTGATCCCCACTGTTTTGACGTCTCGTGGGTGACCCCCACCTCTTCTTATATTGTGATTTGAGTGACCTCATCTTAATTTTCAACCCTAACATTGCCTATATAGTTAAGCACGCATTATGTCAGACCGCCAAGACCCTGCCATCTCTGCCGAACTTAAGGAATGGCTTTTCTCCACTATAGCGGAGTCCATTCCTAAGGCCTTGGCAGCCTACCATTAACATGCCACAGAAGTACACCCCTCTACACAACAACCCTCTGACTCTGAGGATTCTCATGTCTCTGACCAAGACAGCGCCCCGCGCAAGAGACTCTGGAAAGGGAATAGCGCTTCTGCGGGCAAAGGCAAAGCTCCTGCAAAGGTCATTAAACATTCTAACCCATATGTTACGCAGGATGCCGCAGACCCTCTGGAGGGTTCCACCTCACGTTTGTCTGGCCATATTTTAAGTGACTATGATCCAAATTACTCTGATGTGGATCCCATGGTGAATGCGCCCCAGGATTCCTCAACATCGGAGTTCGTAAAAGAAACCTTTATGGGACAGGACCCCAAGAGTAAGGTGCCTGACTCAGACACCCTCCTGGATGCCTCAGGCCTCCCCCTTTTTGACCCAAGGGTGATTCGTCATCCGCGCTCAGCAGAATGGGCTCCCCCAGGACCATATTGCTAATTTCTGTAAACTGTGGCTTCGCAAGCCCCTCGAAAAAGAAATTAGAAACAAACTGAGGGCTGAATGTCCGAGACCTACAATTCCAGGCAAAGTTGCCTTTACCCCTGAATTCGACCCCATGCTGGTCACCTATATGACAAAATCTGGTAAAGACCCTCGTAAGGGTATTGAGCAGGGTTTGAAAGCGACTCAAGACAAATTATTAGACATTTCAGGTCCTATAATTCAAATATTTATACTAGCAGATGAGGCACTCACAAGCGGTGAACTTGATCCGCATATTATTAGAGAATGGGCACAGAGGGCCCTATGTTTATTGGGCAACGCCAATGTGGCAATTTCGATTTAGAGACGCAAAGCGGCACTTTATAAAATCGATGCCAAATTAGTAGACTTGAGTACTAAAGAACTAGGCCCAGAGGCCGATGGTCTTTTGTTTGGTAACAGTTTCATGCGAGACCTCTCCAAGCATGTCTCAGTTTTTTGTTTTTTTTTTGAATATTTAATCTTTATTTTAAATTTTTTTCTTTTAAATCTCATTAAATACATATATCATACAAATACAAATATCATACAAATATACATTTGTGATACAAACAAACAACACAGCAGCAAAATAGGGGAGGGAGAAGAAAAATACATCAGAAAGACTTCCATAGTAGAGTGGTAATATCATTTAGATAAATCTCATAATTATTTACAATGTTCATGGAATTGTTCTACTACTAATTGAGCGACACTATTTTATACATCAATCATCTCAATACACTTTAACCAAACAGAAATCTTATTGCTTAATCTTTGTTTACTTAGCATCAGCTCCATTCTAATCTGAAACTCGAGTTGAGTTTTAACTTTCTTCCAGGGGACTTCTGAATCCCTTTTCCACCATCTCGCAATTACTATTTTAGCCGCTAAAAACAGATGTATAAGAATTGCTTTTAATTCATATGTCATATGAGGCCAATTTAGATGAAGTAGAACTACCTCTGGAGAGATAATCAACTCGAGTTTTAAATTGTTAGATATAAAATGCTGCATTTTCAACCAGAGATTTTTTAATTTATAGCAATCCCACCAAATATGTCTAAAATTGCCTCTAATACTATTGCATCTCCAACAGATAGAATTTACTAGAGGGTAAATTTTATTCAATTTAGCTGGTACTAAGTACCACCTATTTAAAACTTTAAAGTGCGTTTCTAATAAATTTAATGAATGTATATTCTTCTTAACATCCATCATTGAAGAACCCCATTGATTCAGATTTATATCGATATTCAAGTCTTGTTTCCAAGCCTGTATGGCAGTAGGATTTGTGTCTTTAGCTATTGATTTAATTAGTATTAGAGCTTTAGAAAGTGGTTTATTAACTTTTTTTGATGTAAATAATAAATCTATCGAATTGCTTAAATTAGATTTTGGTATTATTAGATGTGTATTAATATAGCTTTTAAGTCTTAGAAAATTAAACACCTCTCTAGGAGGGAGATTATGTATCTCTGTTATTTGAGCAAAGGTTTTAATTAGTCCTTCTGTCAATAATTGGTCCAGAGTCGTTATCCCTACTTTTTTCCAATTATTTAAGTTTAAGTCTTCCACTTGTTTTTCTACAATATCTAACTCTAAATAACTTGGAACTTTTTTTTCTATATTCATTACTTTTTTAATTTTTAACCAATTTTCCAATAATTGAGTTAGAATAATACTGGCATATTCTTTTTTCTTTGGCATTTTATTTATATTCCAAATTAGACAATCTAAGCTAGAAACTTCTCCTGCCTTCAATTCCATTTTATACCATCCCTCATCTTTATTTTCTTTCATTTGCATTCTATAGACATGTAGGGTAATAGCTGCTTTAAAGTTATTCATTATGAGTGGATAATCAAGTCCACCTTTATATATTTTCTGCGCTAATATTGACTGTTTCAATCTCGGCTTCTTGCCTTTCCAGATGTATTGAGTAAAACTTCTTTGTATTAATTGAAGCCAATGGATTGGGATATGGAGAGGTAACATTTGAAACATATAATTCCACTTTGGTATAACATATGAATTGATAACATTTATTCGCCCCAAAAAAGTAATCTCTAGGTTTCTGCGATCTTTTAACCATTTATTGAGATCTAATAATAATGTTAGGAAATTTACTTCCATAATCTTATTTGTCTCTCTGGTTATTTTAATTCCTAAGTAATCCATACTTTCTTTAACCCAAATAAAATCATATTTGTTTTTAATCTCTCGTTGTATCCTTTTATTTAGGTTAACATCTAATATCAAGGACTTATTTATATTTAACTTATAATTTGATATGAAGCTATATCGCTCTATTTCTTGCATTATGCGTTCCAAAGAATTTTTAGGGTTTGTAAGAGTAATTAAAATGTCATCAGCATATAAGCTAATTTTTTGATCCTCATCCATTATTTTATAACCATGGATCTCTTTATTATTCCTAATATTCTCAGCCAATGGCTCAATAGTCAGCAAGTAGAGCAATGGTGAGAGGGGACAACCCTGTCGGGTACCATTTCTAAGTTGGAACCATGGGGCGACTATATTAGGTCCAATAGTTCGTGCAACAGGATTTACATATAGTGCCATTATAGCTTTCTTAATCCAACCTTCCAATCCATAATGTTGTAAAACGGCTTCTAAATATTTCCAGCTGACTCTGTCGAATGCTTTTTCAGCATCAATCGACAGAGTCAAAACTGGAACATCATATCTATTTGCGTCATCCAAGATATTAATAATTTTCCTTATACTTGTATAGGAATTTCTACCTGGAACATACCCTATTTGATCTTTATGGATGATTAGTGGAAGAAGTTTTTTTATTCTAGCAGCCAAAACCGAAGCGTATAACTTAGTGTCAACATCTATTAAAGATATCGGACGGTAGTTTTTGATATCAGTGGGGTTTTTATCATTTTTTAGAATAGGCAAGATATTAGCTTTTAGCATCTCTGCTGGTAAAAATCCTCTGTTTGCCGCTATGTTGAAAGCAGAGGTCAAATGTGGACATATTAAATCTTTAAATGTTTTATAAAATAGGTTGCTAAACCCATCCGGGCCTGGTGTTTTAGATCTTTCTAAATCATTTATTGCTTTCATAGTCTCCTCCATAGTTATAGGTTTATTTAAGAAATCATTTTCAATAGAAGTTAATTGAGGCTTCTTTATATTATTTAAATAGTTTTTAATATCCTCATCTGTATTGATCTGAGGAATATTGTATAGATTGGAATAATATTCATTAAAACACTTTCCAATCTCTCTGGGGGTTAGTGCTATTTTTCCATTCTGTATTATTTTGTCTACCTTATTTTGTACTTTTTGTTTTCTAAGTTTTTGGGATAGCATCTTTTCAGCTCGATTGCCTTTGGAATAATATTTAAATTTTAATCTAACCATATTTTTAGCTATCATGTCCATTAATTTTTGCTTTATTTTTTCTTTAAGTTCTAATATTTTTTCATAAATTTCAGGAGATGGAGATTGTTTATTGATATGAGTCAAATCTCTTAATTCTGTATGTAAAAATGCCAAAGTATTATTTTTATCAAGTTGGCTTTGTAACTTGATAATATGACCTCTTATAACGGCCTTAAAGGCACACCACAAAATAGATGAATCAATATTTTCTGAGATATTTTCTTTAAAATAATTTTTTATATTATCTCTTATATGAGTTTTTTTTAATTCACAACAAAGCAAATTATCTCTTAGCCGCCAAGTATAAGCTTCTCTTTTAAGTGTACTAAAAATCATTTCACAAAAAACTCCATCGTGGTCTGTCCATACTATCTCGTCAATCTTTGTTTTTTTGGTCATATCAATAATACTTGGGTCGACCCAAATCATGTCTAATCTTGAATAGGAAAAATGCACTTTAGAAAAATGCGTATAGTCTCTCTCATTAGGATTAAAAATTCTCCAAATATCGAATAGATTATATTCATCTTTAATTTTTTTAAGGCTTTTGCTTGTTTTATAACCATCTGATTTAAAGTATTTCCTTTCATTAATTTTTTATCTATCTGAGGGTCTAGTACAGCATTAAAATCCCCTGCCACTATTAACTTTCCCACTTTAACTTCATCTACTTTTTCCAGAATTGTTTTTAAATAGGCAACTGGTAAATGATTAGGAAGATATATATTACATAATGTAAAAAGTACAGAGTCAATTTTACATATTATTATTAAATACCTGCCTTTAGTATCTTGTATTTGATGAATTACTTCAACTTTAATCTTTTCTCCAAATACCACAGCTACTCCACATTTTTTTTTTTCCTTATTGGAAGCTTGAATTATAAGTGGAAATCTTTTACCCCCCCAATTTTGTTTATCCGCTTGTCTCCAGTGAGTTTCTTGTAAGAATATTAAATTCAATTGTTTTTCACTGAGGTATTTGTACAATAGATTTCTTTTCGCTATAGTATTCAATCCCTGAACATTAAGTGTAAGCATTTTTATCATATTATTTTCAAAAACCTCCCTACATCCCTTTCCACTCGATAGCCATTACCCTTCCCTTTTGCTGCATAAACATATCTACACAAACACATAAAACAAAATATTAAAATCATAGGAGGAAATCCTCCTTTTTTATCACAAAGACTGTAAATTTTCATATAGAAATTCAGTCTTTACTGTGTCTTTAAATTAGACACTAAGTGGGCGTATCCAGAAAGAGGTAGTAATATTTACAAGTTTGCAATCTCTCTCCAAGAGGGAGAGAGAGAGAGAAAGAAAAAAAAAAAAAAAAAAAAAACTTTTATACTTAACTCCATTAACTTTCAATTCTGTGTCTTAAGTGGATCTATATCCTCTTATCTTACCAATACGTATGAATAATTTACTTTTAGCCACCTCTTTGAATTAAAAACTGATTAATACTTAAACATATTTGCTTTTATCTACTTTTTTCCAGATAATTAGTTAGTACCCTTAAGGTGAGAACAACCAACAATTACTTCAATAAACCTGTTAATTATTCAAAAAAACATTTCTTTGCTTATTTTATACTTAACTTCATTGCTCTATGAATAATTTTCTTTTAACCACCTCTTTAAGTACAAATCTGATTAATATTAATACTTAGACATATTTACTTTTAAGTCCTTATGTTCCACATGGTTACATGCATATACCCAATTAAATAGTTCTACATAAGTGAGGACAAAAAAAAAAAAAAATTTCTTCCATTATGTCTCAGTTTTTACCACACTTAATAAAGCCTAGTCATCCCTACGTAGGGTTTTCCGCTCCCATAACCATTGTTTTTCTGGGAGAGCTGGTCACTCCAGGCGCCGAGCTACCAGTAGAGCAGCCTTTACAGGCTACAGGCCCCGACCCACAGATTATTGGTCCACAGGATATACACGACCCTACCACAGACAACTGTTCAGCAACAGAGGCTCGATACGAGGACGTGGCTCTGCATCCCTGCGCGGACGCACTGCCTCAGGTAATGGACCTTGCTTATTTGAAACATATATCAATCGCAGGTCGCTTAACTTTCTTTTTCCAACAGTGGAAGCTTCTTTCTCAGGATCTTTGGATCCTTCATACAGTCAGAGGTTTCAAAATAGACTTTTTTACACACCCAGTACAACACTCTTCTCCGACATCCTTAGAGATGTCAAAAGCGGACACTCTAACCTTGAACACAGAACTAACAAAATTGGTACACAAAGGGGCGATCGAACCTTCGCCTTTCCCTTGCACCTTCCTCAGCAACATATTTCTCGTTCGGAAAAAAACGGGGGACCACCGTCCCATTATCAACCTCAAGGCATTGAATCGCTTTATCACATACCGTCATTTCAAGATGGAAGGTATCCATCTTCTCAGAGACTTGCTCTGCGTGGGAGACTGGTTCTCCAGATTCGACCTCAAGGATGCTTACCTGACGGTCCCAATCGCACCAAGTCACCGTGCTTTCCTCCAATTCCTATGGCAAGGAGACATTTGGCAGTTCACCTGCCTCCCTTTCGGACTTTGCTCCGCCCATTGGTGTTAATGAAACCGGTCATGGCGCTCCTTCGCTCTCAAAGCATGCGTTCCATTATATATTTGGACGATATCCTGATCATGGCCCAGGACCAACAATTACTTCGCAAACACACACACATGACCTCTGCCTTCCTTCAAAACCTGGGTTTTGTCATAAATTACCAGAAATCAGATCTGGAACCTTCGCAGATAGTCCAGTTTCTGGGTTTTCAGATAGATTCAGTTCAGGCAACTCTACAGTTACCCTACTCCAAAATCAAAAACATAAAAAGAGAGATTCAAAAATTACTCAGGTCACAATGACCTCGGCGCCGCGACCTAGCACACGTTCTAGGTCTCCTATCCGCATCAATTCAGGTTATTTTTCCATGGCCCTTACACTACAGAGCAATGCAACGGCTGAAAACCTCCTACTTACATCGCTCGACCTCTTACGATCAATTCATTTCCCTAACGGACGAAGTTCTCATCGAACTTCACTGGTGGCTTCGCAATATGGAAGCCTGGAATGGGAAAGCGATTTTCGGATCTCAACCAGATTTTATTCTGGAATCCGATGCCAGCTTCCTCGGTTGGGGTGCTACTTGCGCCCAAACATACACAGGGGGTCTCTGGTCCCCATCAGAACAGGCACTTCACATAAATTGTCTCAAGCTCATTGCCGGATCCTTCGCGATCCGCAGCTTTGCCAAGGAAGTCTCCAACTGCTCTCTGGTACTTCGGATGGACAACACCTCCGCAGTACGGTACGTAAACCGACTCGGAGGGTCCAAATCGAAACTACTGTCAGACCTCACCAAGGATCTGTATCAGTTCTGCTTAGACAGGAATCTATCCATTCGGGCAGAATATCTCCCAGGACCCGACAACTTCACGTCACTGGAGGGATGCCAGCGACTAGCAATTAGATCCGCTCCTATTCCACCGCATTCACCTATTGCGGGGACCGCTCACCCTCGACCTCTTCGTGTCTCGGCTGAATCGTCAGACAGACGATTTTTTCAGGTGGTTACCAGACCCTCTATCTCTAGCTGTCGACGCTTTTCTCCAACCTTGGCCACGGAGCGGAGCCTATGCCTTCCCTCCTTTCTCAATGATTCAATGGACCCTCCACCAGGTCAAATCACAGGGGGTCAGGATTGTTACCCCTCTATGGTGGGCCCAGACGTGGTTCCCCACTCTTCTGGAACTTTCCACAGATTATCCCATCCTCCTACCTCGCTCAAATCGGGTCCTCAGGAACTCAACGGGCGACTACCACCCGCTCGCCTTACAAGGCCACCTTCAGTTGGTGGCCTGGACAGTTTCAGGGGTGCTTGGCATGTCGCAGGACTTACAAGCACTGCTCAAACACTCCTGTGGGATTCATGGGCTCCAGGGACCAGGCGAACCTACCTCGCCGCATGGCGAGTTTGGATCAGCTGGTGTCTGGAGAGGGATTTCGATCCCGTTTCAGCATCTCTCTCATCCATTCTAAATTTTTTATCATCACTTTTCGATCAGGGTAAATCATACCGGTCGATTAAAATTTTTCGTTCCGCCATTTCGGCAGGCTATGACCCTATTGATAATTCCTTAGTTGGGAAACACCTTTCTGTGTGCAGACTTTTACGGGGCATTCGTTTGACGAGGCCACCCTCTGCCAAATATTCTGGGTTCTGGGATATCTCTCGAGTCTTCGCACTGTTGGAGTCCTGGCCCCCTAACGAGGCCTTATCCCTTCGACAACTCTCTGCGAAACTAGCCCTGCTACTGTGCCTGGTGTCCTTCCACAGAGTTTCTGACGTTCAAGCTTTTACAATTACTAGGCGCATTAAGACGAACTCCTCATCTGTTTTTTACCCGTACTTTCCCGACAGGCCAGCCCTCTGTGTGGCTCTGTGTACCCGTTGTTACACGGAGGTAACTGCCACCCTACGTTCCCCTACCGGGCCCCTTTTCATCTCCTACGTTAGACCTCACAAACCGGTCTCTTCCCCCACTATCGCTCGCTGGATAAGATGGTTGCTCATCCAAGCGGGAATTGATAGATCATTCGGAGCCCACAACGTTAGGGGAGCGGCCTTTCGTGCCGGCAGTTCACTGGCGGATATTTTATCCTGCGCAGATTGGTCAAGGGAATCTACCTTTCGAACCTTTTATTTTAAACCAACACCACATGCAGCTTGTTCTATTATTCAAGAGCGTTAAAACAGCAAATATGAAGCCTCCTGTTTTGCCATAAAAATTAGGGATTATTCTAGCTTTCAGTGAACAAATAATCTGAATTTTATTAAAGACAGGAGGCAAATATTTTCCCTCCCTTCGTTCGCTCCGGAACCCACCCTCGAGGTAAGTCTCATAGCCAATGCTTAATGTATGATACCGTTTCTTGCATCTAAATTTGCAATATACGATTTGTTCATTTTGTGGTTACACATCTACATCACAGGGTACTGATATGTCTTTTTCCTAACTCTGCCAGTTCGTCTGAGCTATAATTAGAAATAGGGGTTATAATTATATATTTTCTCTTGTCCGAGAAACCTTACTTTCACGAAGTCTCTCTTCTTCTCTTTTAGTGTGAAGATCTCAGGTTTGTTCGATCAACTTTCCGTTTACATGGTTTACTTCATCTCGAGTTACAGCCTCGGGAAATGTTCCAGTTCCAGTTTACATGGTTGACTTTGCTACTGACCGGCAACACCAAGAAAGAGGAAGTGGGAGGAGTCTGATGACACTATATTGTAGCTGAGATGTGTTATGATTGGTTGATTTTCCATACAACATTGTTAACCATTTCTTTGCTGCTGGGAGTTACAGTAAAGAAAGATAAGCAAATATTCGCCTCCTGTCTTTAATAAAATTCAGATTATCCATTCACTGAAAGCTAGAATAATCCCTAATTTATCTATTAATAGGACAATTACAAGAAACCTTACAGGAACGATAGGTTGAAGAGGACCCTGCTCAAATGAGCTTACAGTCTATAGATTGTAAAGTTGCCAAGGGAGATAGAACTAATTAATAATAGGTTTAAATCCTCTAAATAACGTGACCAGCATTTATCATGATAATCCTGTCAGGATCATTAGGTCAATTGCTAATACTGCTAATAAAAGGTAATAAAATATTGTTGAGGTCTATATGGAAAAAAAAGGTTCTAGTATAGATATATTTTCTAAAAAGAGGAGGAATATTGAAGTTAGAGAATCAGACTAGAGTGTGAAGTCTCTAATCAGATATAGGGAAATATCCTTCCACTCACCAAACTGTTTCGGTGTTTACATTGCACCTTCGTCAGGGCAAAAACTGCTGAGTTAAACTTACTGGGTTTATGAGGCATCCCTGTCCCTCCTCTATTCCCTCTCTACCAATTATATT